GACATCATGTTGCGTTGTTTAATGGCAAAGAATTCTTACAAATTACATCATTGCACCTGAATTTGCTGTTTGTAGGCCGTTATTCGACCTGCCGTGTTCAGTTCTCTTGGTCCATCATACAGCTCGCATATATCCTATGCTTCTGCTTGTCTTCCTCATCAGCTCTGCATGACATTCCTAACCATAGTATGCATAAGCCCTTCCTGACCATTTGTTCCATACCACCGTGTTTCTCTAGGCTTGTGAATGTAAAGAATGATTGCTTCCATTAGCAGTTGCTTGAGCTAGCTGGCGCTAGGTGAGGTTGTTTGTAAGGTAGTCTATGTTAGGCTTGTTGGATGTTCTTTTGCAGGAAGTTGAAGAACCTTCAATCACGACAGAGAAATGACTCACGTCAGAATGTGAGCACCTTCTAACCAAGTCTTTTTAACCTGATCCCTTCCTCACAACCCCTGAAGTTCCAGAATTGGTCTACAGGATGAACATCATGGTGTCCTGTAACTAGATTCTCCCCCCACCAATTCTGACAAGATTGCCTGTTTGTTACTTATTTGTTTGTTGTTTGTGCGCTGTTTACTTACATGCTCATACCAGCAAGGTCTTATGCATGTCTATGTTGTATTCCTGCAATGAAACGCGTGGCAACAGTGGTTCCAGACCAGAATTGTTCATTGCCCTACTGAGAAAGCGCCCCGCGCAATTCCTTCCGCAGTTAATTCGTGGTCTTCACGAAGATCATCTCCAGTGGTCTGTGAAGCAGGCCGGGTTCACACATAGCAGATCATAGCAGCCAGGACGGCTGAATACTTATGAACGTTTGGAAGCAGTACAAATTCACTGAAGGCTGGTGATGCTACAATGTATCGTGCTACACCAGACCCTGCTGCTCCTTTAAGGCACCGGTAGAGCAAACAGAGGTCTCTCGGTCTCTCTACATAGAGACACAGTTAACATGAGCTAACAGTGTCTCTTCATGTCGCGCATGTCTTGACCTGTCAGGTCAAGTGCAGTTGTTTATGTCCGCTCGCTGTCTTGGCCGGGTGCAGTCCAGCACTTGGCTGGCTACTTTCTTGATCCAAGACTCAGCTTCAAAAGAAGTTTCCGCTCAGGTGTGCGCCATTCGGAATGGGCAGTTTGTGAACATCTATGCATCCAGCTTGGGTGAAGCAAGCTGACATGTTGCGATCTTCCACAGTCTCAACGTCTAGGCCTGCTAGGCTTTCTAGGCCCCAGGCAAAAAGCACTCCCAGGTCGGCTATGGTCTTGCTGCAGTGTCCAGCAATTTCTTTCCAATGGCACCTCCGGATGTTCAAGACGAGCCAGAGGAGTGACTACTTAATGTAGACTCTTGATGAGCAAAACCCCCAGATGAAGAGCTTGTTCCTTCCAAATCAAGGGGGTCTGGTTGCTTTGCTTCATCAAGAGTCCTCACCTGTGTTGCTTTGCTGAACAAAAAACAAACAAAAACCAGCGGTGTTTGGTTGCCTGTCCCATCTGCTTCTTCCTCTGCTCGACTGTGTCGTTCGACCGATCCGAACGGAGGATCCAGGAGAAGTGGAGGAACCTCAAGGCTCGGAGGAGCCACCAGCCGCTGAGGAGTGAGTGTGAGAGAGTTCGCCTCGGAACCCGCAGTTGGACCGGATCATGTCAGCTCTCCGGCATGTTCGATGAAAAAGCATAAAGCAATGTTTTTCATGGACACGATGATGGAATCAATGAGAACAAATGTGTCAAAAGAGGCGACTCTCCTGCTGAATTCACTTGTTTCACTATTCCTTGTACCACTTGTCTCACTACGTGCGCTTCATGCCTTGGCATGTGAAACGAAAGATGGCGTGCAATCTCCAGCTTCGGAAACAAGTGACCTGCTATGTGTTTCAATTGAAGCACGCACAGAAATGGAAGTGCTTGTTTGTGTCGAACGGTTGGAAGCTATTTCCTTGAAAAATCTCTTTTCATGTGTCGAGCGCACAAGGTGCGTGCGGTTTCCCAGAGGGCCGTTGAGTCTATTGAAGCATATTTTCTGTAGAGTATTGTTCATTCATGTTCATTGCCTTAGATGATTCATATGGTATCATCGGATATCATCGGTTCTTCCATATATTTGTTGGGAGCCTCTGTGAGTTTCATGCTCAATCGTTTGGAGATGTTTGGAGCGACAAGAGCTTGAAGCTGGGTGGCAGGGTTTTTCTGTGAAGCGCATCTGCCAAGCAGTGGAAAGCCGAAAGCCCAAGGTTATCACGTCGGTTTTGGACAGGTGTTTGCTTGAATGGTGTCATCCCAGTCATCCTTGATGCAACAGAATGGTGTGGCAAACTCCCAAAAGCAAGCGAAATGCAAGCACAGATTCACCAACTTGGATGGGAGTAATATTAAATAGTTCCAACAATATCGCTGGCACGGTGGTACAGCCACTTCCTTCAGCAATGGTGTCAATGCACTTGAATGCCGCGGCAGGGAGCCCAGAGCGTGATTTGTAGCCCCTTGCAACTGCATGCTTCGCTTTTCAGGACTATGCGGGCATCAATGGGTGCAACTGCACAAAGAATCTGCAGGTGTATCCAACCGCGTTTAAGCAGGCTTGGCTTGGCGCTTCAGACCTTTGCATGCTTTTGCTGCTTACGCAAAGTGCAAGCTAGCGAGAGCGATTGGTTGGCTGTATCCATATGCAAATGCATGCATAAAACAGAAACGTATATGAAAGATGTTCCATCCACTTGCATAGACGACTGTACTCCCAGATTCTTGTTTCTCAATGCATCACTGCAGGGCGATGTTGGCATCCATTTGCATGCGGACCTGCCACGAGTTGGAGAGGACTTCTCGCTTTTTCCTTGTTGGAACATAATGGATTTTTTGAGGTGAAATACGACCCAAAGAAAGAATCGGTGCTTGATGCCAAGACGTTTGGCACTTGGTCCTTCTTTTGTTTTTGGTGTGGGCGGACATCAATCAATCTCTCTACAAGCTGACTGGATCATTCAAGCAGGCAAGACTCAAGGTGTCCAAGAGGAGTTTGACACGTGGTGATTTTTACTATGGGAGAAACATGGAAATGGAACTCCCTCTGTTTCTGATCTCGACGAGGTATGCGGTGCCAAACCTCGATGATGCACCCAAGCCTCCAAGTGCTGATGTCCAGCTCCTACGTCCCGGTGAGATGGACGAGCTCCGTGTGCAACACGAGCTCGGCCTCAGGTCTTGGAGAAGATTGAAGAGAGAGCTATTGAGGCGTGGAAAAGCTTCCGAATTCACGAGCTTCCGAATTCACGAGACTCCCCAAACCTCGGCCGGCATCGGATGCCGCCTTTCGTTGACCCGAGGTCATGGTCGAGAACGCCGAGTGTCGACAAAAGATGTCGCAGGTGGGTTCGGTTTTCGGTGGTTCCGGTGCTGTCCCACACGGCGAATCGGGACACAGGTGGTGTCCGGTCTTTGGTTTATGGCTTTTCGTTTGGGGTGGAATCTGCAGGTCAGTAAGGCCCTTCGCGATGCCCCAAAGCTTCCTCAGGAGATGAGTTTGATGAGTTTCGTCATGTTCCTTTCAACAAGTTCATGATGTTTTATGGTGCTTCATGCTTCATATTCATATGTTCATGATGTTTAGATTTCAGGATCTCTTTGGACCTCTACAATCAGGCGCCACACATCATGGACTTGGAAAAAAAAGATGTAGTTGTGCGGTCTGAGTGATGTTGATGTCACACACTGCTAGAAGAGGCCTCCCATGGCAGCTTGCATGGATACATCAACTCTCTTTGCCAAGCAGTGATCTCAGCAACGAAAACCTCTCCCCGTTTGCCGGGCTCCCACTGGTTGAGGGAAATAGATGGAAATTGTCTTCCAAAAGCTGCTGTTGTTTGAGGGAGAGTACCAGAAACACAGACTATAAATCTATGAATTACTATCACTCAGAAGAAACAGCTGTGCTGGCAAGACCATGGTAAGACCATGTTCCAAATACTAAACAGAAGCTCCTGGCCTTACTACTAGGAGCAAGAAGCTACGAACGGGGCTCACTACTAGGGCTTTTCACTCCACTTCCGAAGTGAGCGTCTTTTTCTCCAAGGTGGCGAGCCGCCCGGCCAGGCCAGGCCTGGAGTCACTTTTAGCGCTGTTCAACGGGACATAGAACAGCAAACAGTATCCTTCGTTCAACGAAAAAGTAATTGGGGGTTCGGAAAAAAATAGACATCATGAGGTGCTTCGTTTGGTGCTTCATGGGGTGCAGAATGAATCATTGTTCATATATAACTGATTGTTCATGGAGGACAGGTTCAGCAGGTTGGGACACGTTCAAAACCTGGCTGGTTGACTGGACGACTGGGCGATTGAAAAAACATTGAGATGCGGTGGGGGGTCCTACTAAATGGATGTGTCTGAACTTGAATTTCTTCTGCAACCAGTCATGCATTGTCCAAATTCCATGTTCTTCTTTGGTTGAACCACGCGCCTTTTCTGGCCAATGTGCCTCAATTCTTGGACTCGCGTGCCAAGTTCAGGCAAGACGACCCAAGCTCAGCCAATTCCTGTGAGCTGAAAAGAAGGGTTTTTGTGCGAAGTGAGATTTTCGCACATGTTCGCACTTGTAGAATCTTGTAGATTTTGTGACTCGCAAAGTGTCTTCTTCTTGTTCTGATTCTGTGATGGTTGTTTTCCAGCGCCTCCTGAGCACGCGTGCCAGACGAGCTTTCGGATGCTTTCGTGTTGCTGTGCTTTCGGTGTGCTTTCGGCAATGCCAAGATCACCAGACAGTAAAACTGAACAAATCCAGGCTGCCAAAATTGGTACACACCCTCAGAGATATTGTCGCATGATGAAGGACATGCTCACACAATTTCACACATGTTCAGGAGTTTCGATACTATGATTGTGATTCAGATATTCAATTGTTATAAATCTCACGGCATCTGAGCATTTTTCAGCCGTTTCTTCACCACCCCGCGCTTGCTTGGCGCACGTTCAACGCTGATCGCCATGGACTGTTCGTCTTGGCCTCCATGGAATCTGAACGGCCAGCCAAGCGGGCTCGTCAGGCCATTTCCTCAGAAGCCAAGCCGTTAATCTGTGATATCCTCTTTGGGAAGAAGCCACTATAAAATGCTGTGCCGACGTGTCACAATTTTATATAACTAGACCTGCGGACATGGATGGGGATACTTGAATGAAATTCATGAGACGTGCCTTCCACTGGACCAGGACCAGAAGACCGTGGCATTGCCCATTCTTGCTTTCCGAGAGGAGCGTCCAACCCCTAACGCGCATCATGTGAGACGTCTCGGATCGTGTAGCGTAAGAGCTGTCCGTCAGGAGATTGTAAGAGCTGTCCGGCAACATCGCGTTGTGGTCCTCGTGGGGGAAACAGGGAGTGGCAAGACAACACAGGCACTTTTCACCTGCGACGACATGACATTGGCGTGAGTGGTGGACAACTACTAAGTACCAGTACTGACTACTGCTTGAGGTTTGATTTGACTCAGAAGCCGTGCAAAAATGGGGCCACTCTGAGAGCTAGTTTCCAGGTGCCACGTTTCCTCTACGAAGCTGCTGTGGCCACACGGCCGGGAAGCATCGCAGTGACGCAGCCACGGCGCATTGCAGCCATCAGCGTGTTGGGCTTGGAGCGTGGAGCGGCCACGCGAGCGTCCCAAAGAAAAGCCTCGTAGGAAGGCTGCCCCCCCAAGCCTCGTTCGATGGCCCTGGTGAGAATGCGGAGTGAAACCGTGCAACGGGAAGATTCTGTCATGTTCTGTTGTACAAACACAAACTTTGACAGAAACCAGGTGTGTGAGTAGAAGGATGGGCCCAGCTGATCCATCACAAGAAATACATGTAAAGAACACATCCAGAATGCACATCCAGCCACCTGCAAACGTAAGGTGGCTCATCGTGTGGCTTCAGAGATGGGCTGCGAAGTAGGAGGCCGGCACGGCACGCCATGACCAGAAACAAGGCCCTTTGTCCGTTGTTCACATTTTTGTTCATTGGTTCTCGTACCATCCTAAACAACAGTTTATATAATTGGGCGAAGTGAATGGGGCTTGATGCAGCATAGGGCGTTACTTCCCACTCCTCACCATGCTGCACTTGGCCAATGCCCATTTTTAGTGACCTGTAAGCCTGCAGTTGCCAGGTGTGGCAACATCTCACCTAATTTTCGCCTATCACGTAACCACCACCCAGGGAAGCAGCAGCCAAAACCGCCCTCTTAGATCCTCAGTCAGGTCTATGTCAGGCCGCTCATATGCGTATCAAATAAGGCTGCGCAGAAGATGCGCAAGCAGACGTGCAAGCAATCCATGCAAACATTAGGCTCATTGCTTCCGTTCACGGCTACATGTTCTGTGCAGATCTCGTTGGATACCACGTGCGCTTTTTGAACCGCACCTCCTCCAAGACGAAATTGAAGTGCCCCAAAGCTGCTTGTGCACCAAAAGCGTACGCAGACAGAGAATGTATTCAGTGGAGGTATATGACCGATGGAATGCTCGTTCGAGAGTCCGCAGCTGGAGGAAGCGAGATTTGATTTTGAATGCAAACTGAAGGTGATTTTATTTTGTGCGAAACTGCATCTCCTCATGCTTCAGAGGAGCTCATGCAGGGATCAATGGTTCGTCCATCGTCGTATTGGATGAAGCCCATGAGTGTTCTCCTCAGCGAGAGACACAGCACAGGAGTTGTTTGGAGTTTCATAGCGTCTCTCCAGACCACAGACACAGATAGACAAAGCCGCTTCGAATTTGCAGGCGTGGAATAAATACTGACGTGCTGCTTGGACTGGTGAAGCTAGCCAATGCCCTAACTTCTTTGCAGCTTGCGGCATTTGTGTGTAGTGTGTGATATCATATCGTGTGTATCATTTGCCCTCCATCTTTTTGAGTCGCATTCTGCAGGCCTTGGAGGAAGACAAACCACCTGGGCTACGAGTCGCCTCCACAGTGTTTTTGGAGCAAAAAACGCCAAAAACGTGTGGCGTTTGTTTTACTTCGCTGCACAATCGAGGTAGTTGTGATGTCTGCCACAATCCATGCTGCACCCTTTGTGAATTTCTTTGGTGGGAGCAAGGAGGCGAAGGGTCATGGTCCGTGAGCACAGTGCTTTTGGCAAGCGCCACGCCACTGTTCATTCGGCTTCTGCGCACGCCACGTGATAGGTGAAACTGGTCAAAGTTCCAGGAAGACAGCATCCAGTGTGCCTTTGATTGCATGCTTTCCATTATAAAGCCATTCGCTCTAGCATGTTTTGGGATAGGCTCTTTCCGGCAGAAATTCGACCATGCAACACCCATATAGCAAACCGAGCAGAACTTTGCAGCAACAAACCAACGAAGCTATACAACAAAACCTGCAAAATTCTATTGCAAACAAAAAACAGCAAAACTATACAGCAAAAGTCACAACAAAAAGGACACAACTATCAACTATCCAACAAACAGGGTGCAACTACCCAGGAAGTGGCTCAACGCTTTCACCTCATACCAAAAAACTGTTGGCAAAAATCATCACATGGGTAGAAAAACAGAAGGAAGTGATCAAAAAGGTCGAAACACATGTGAGTTTAAAAACAGTAACAGTCAGTGAGAAAATCAACACGAGTCATCAGCAAGTCAAATTATTTGGGCTCGATTTGGAGAGGGATGGCTCTTTTGGTTGAACGCCTCGAAATCCGACTTAAGTGTGTTTTGAGCCAGGGTTGACTCTATTCCGTTCGGAAACGGCAAAACGATCAAAAGAAAACACGAGGCCTTCACAAACGTGTTGGACCAAATTCCGGTTTTAAACTACAGTTTTGGACACGAAAACCGTTTTGAGCAATTTTGGTGGCCAAATCACATCACAAGTTTCAGCAGAAAAAGCTCTTGTGGGGAGGAAGGTTCCAACATGCGAAGAAGAACTTGGAAGTTCCATTTTCTGTTTGCACAGAGTGTCACACTTGGAAAGTATCTGGCAGTTGTTCACCTTTGAAGCAATTCAGCTTTTGGTGATTCCGTATTGAAGAGTGTTAATTCATTTTAAAGATGTATATATAATATATATACATGTATATGTTGTTTTTTTGAGAGCGGACAGTTGTGGCAGTGCGCTTTTTGGCCCATTTGCTATTACAAATGGACTATTTACTACTATATATATATTTGTATGATGTGCACTGTGTTGTGAAGTTTGCACGGGTGTGGACCAATTTTTGTGTTGTTCCTTTTGGGTTTTGTCGGATAGCTGAAATGCTTCGTGCTCTATGGTATTGACAGTTTAGCTGCATGGTTTACCAGTATGGTTTACCTCATGTTAAGTGTATGGTATTTACATGTTCACTCTATAGCATAGCTGTATAGCATCATATTTTTATTTGTATAGTTTTCACGCTTTACTGTTATACCTCCTGTTTATGTATATTTTAAGTATAGTTATAGCCAGTTCGTCCTGAAGAAACGTGTTAGATAAACATGCTAACTTATGCTTGATCCTTTTCAGATGGCTCATGCTACCTTGCTGTGATCAAGGCAAGTGTTCTATACACCAGCTCCAGAGCCAGACATTATAGAGGTGGGAAGGGAGCGAGGAGAAAATCTGGAGCTACGCATGCGGCCTTTGTTTTGTTGCAGTTTTCATGACACGCGCGAAATGAAGCAAAATGGCCAACCACGGCAAGTTCCCCTGGTAACTTATGGATTGCTATGGTAAACCGAGCACGTCAACCGATCGTGACATGTTCGTTTCCAGTCACTGGCCGTCAGGCAGCGCTCATCTCAGTGTTGCAGCTGCACCTGACCAGACCTGCTGGTGACGTGCTGGTGTTTTTGCTCGGTGCACCCAGCGGTCTCTGGTGCACCGTAAGCTGGGGAAGGACCGACCGACCGAAACGCAGGCGCTCGCCGTTCCGCCCGTTGAGGCCTGGTCAAGATGACATTGAAAGCTTACAAAGACTCCTAGAAGAGAAGCAGGAGCGATGAGAGTGTTTCAGTGCCTTTTAAATGTAGGAGGTGCTTCTTTCCGACCAAAACCTGAAAATTGTTTCAGGAGATGTTAATCAAAGAAAGGCAAAGGGTTATGCTGACAAACATGGTCATCGCAACGATTGGTGGAGAAGCATGCAGGCAAGAGAACCCCACCAAGCGTGTCGTTGATCAGCAAGGCTAGAACGAGATCGAAAGGAGTAACTTAAGGAATTCTCAGTTGAACGAGAAGTACTGAGAAACACAACGAACTATACTGGCGGGACAGGTGGTCTCTCTACATCATCATGGCCGACTTACGAGAAGGCAGGAGACCATCTCTTCAGATGGAGCACCCGAGGTCAAGACGATGGCCAGCAGTGTTTGGTTTTTTGAGGTGCAGAATCTCTTGGTGAGACCGATCTACGCATCGTTGCCCTTTGACCAGCAGGTGTATGATCCAGATCAATGAAGTCAATGAAGCGTTTTGTCCTGTTTGCCATGAGTCGCGCATGAAGCGTCGGTGTCACAAGGAGCTTGTGTTTCAGCCAAGTCCTCCTGGGTCCTCTCCTGAAGACGTGGCAAACGAAGAGTGACAAGTGAATTTGCATTGAATGATATTGAAGAAGTGTGTTTCTTTTCGATATCGTTTGCTTTTGGGGTGTTTTTAAATCTCTTTTGAACAATTTTCTGTGATTCCTTAGACTTTGGAGGTGCCGGAAAGTTATCCTGGCAACCAACATCGCAGAGACGTCCATCACCATTCCAGGAATCAGGTATGTGATTGAATCTCGGTGCCGATTGAATCGCAGAATCTGGAAGCCCATGAGTCTGATGAAGCATGTCATGTCATTCCGAGGACACTGGATTGGTAAAGCTAAAGATGACCAATCCTCACACAGGAGTTGAGATGCTCAGGCGTGATGATGCTCATTGAACAAACAAAGAGCAATCACTGTTTGTGAAAAGAATTGACGAACGTTCGCCACATGGACAGAAGGATATTATGAACATCTAGAACCTGATTGACCCCTGTTTTGCAAACACGTTTTTTTCTATCCAGAGGTCATATAGGTTCCAGGCATATATAAACCATACCTCATTCATCCTTCTTCGCGCAGGACCGTTGAAACTTCACAAGCTTCTGCTTTGCAGAGGGCTGGGCGTGCAGGCCGTGCCTTGCTGCGTGACATCGCGTGACGAAAAGCGGCTTTCTCCGATGAACCACAGACAGCCACTGTTGTGCATCATCGTTGCTAACAAGGGGTCAATCAGGTTTGATGCTACTGTAGTGGTCAATCAGTATACTGTATACTAACAAGTTTGATGCGAACAAGTCCGCTCTTCACTGGAGGGGGAGACGAAACTAGACTTGCTTTTTCACGCAGGGCGTGAAGCTCCGGGAGAAGTCTTTCGACTTTATGTCGAGCTCGCCTTGCTCTGTTGCTTGAAATGTATCCTCTCGCCAAGCTCCCGACTGAGAAGGAAATCCGCGTTATACGTATCAATGCTTACCTCACTGGGCCAGGTCAGAATATCACAAGATGCCTGTTCAGACACCCGCTGAAATTCTTCGTTGTGAAATGGCTGAAGTCTACATGCAACTCAAGGCCACTCAAATTCCCACCACTCACCGACCTCAGTCTGTGGGCTTTGGCTGAAAACTGGAGGCTCTTGGCGTGGCAAAGGTTGTGGGATTTCCGTTGGTGGCGGACTTGTGAAAATCAAATGTGAGTCTTGTCGAAGCAGCTACGATGCAAGATCAGGTCGACAAACCCCCACGAGAAGCCTTGGAGAAGGCCGCACATTTTCTATGTCGCATTGGCGCTTTGGATACAAGAGATGTCGCGGCCTCAATTGTCCTTGAGCGGCGCTGACACTTTCTGACGACCGGACGACCGTCATCGACAACCGTCATCGACGACCGTCACGGGCGGAGTGGTTTTCGGGGTGGGACGCACGTGTTTCACCAGTGGCGTCGGCCGAAAAATGGGTGTGTGAAGTTTCAGTCTCCGAAGTGGCTGAAAACCACAAGGGCTGAAAGACTACATATATCATATATATGTCAAAACATGTCAAAAACCGGGGAGAGACCACCAACAATGATTCAGAATAGACCACGAGACATGGTTTATTAGGGAAAAATCCGGGCTTGGGGTTTTGACTCAAAACCACATGGGTCGATGTGATCGATGTTCCGACCCCAGGAGGTCGGAACGGCGGTCTCCCATGTCTGAAGGCTACACACCCATGTCGTTCTAAACAGAAATGGCCTCCTCAACCAATAGACCAAGAGCTTTTCCTCAGTTTTTACAGCTGGAAAAAGGAGATTGAAGCTGAAGGCACATCTTCGCACTGAAAAGGATTCACTGTAGTTGGCCCACGGCTGATAGACGGCCGTGGTGTTTTCTTGCATGTTTCTTGATTTTTCGTTTTCTACGCTGTCGTTTTTGCATGTTTGCTTGAGGGGGATGTGGATGCTACGTGTGGGAATGGGTTGGGGTGGGGTGGGGCATGTTGACGTTCGGTTGCACTTGCTGCATGAAGTTGATGCTACGTGTGGGAATGGGGTGGGGGGTGGGGTGGAGTGGGGTGGGGCATGTTAACGTTCGGTTGCACTTGCTGCATGAAGTTGATGCTACGTGTGAAGACTGAAAAAGTCGCAACTTTTTCCGACGGCCCAATTAGTTACGTAGTTTATCGTAGTTTCGAAAATGCTTCGATCTCAGCATTTCGCCTCAGCGAAACTCTCATTTCAAGCAAATCTGCTTCGAGTTGACCATGATTCCACTGATGACACGTTGGGCACATCATTCATAATGGAATTACGCACATTTCGACATGATTAACCCACGACCATCATTGACTTACACCACGGCCGTCTATCAGCCGTGGACCTAGTTTCACGCTAGGTGCGAACATGTGCGTCATGTGCAGATAGGTCCGAACATCTATATACCAGACCAAAAATAACTCAAAGCAGGCACACCGCCGCGCCGCAGGACGCCGCTTGGGTCGCCGGTCGCCCGCAGAACGCCTGCTGACTGCTGAGGACTTGACCGATCTGGGCCGAAAGCTGGCCACGATGCCTGTGAGCCCTCTGTGCGCCGGATGTTTTTATGTTTTTTTCGCTTCGCGTTGTTTGGAAGGAAAGGCAGTGTGGGTATATGGCGGGTCAGGTACGCGCACTGTTTGCATGTATCCTTTGAGTTTGAGTGTACTGCTGAGATCCTCAGCCTTGCACTCAGCAGTGAGATGTGAGTGCAGGGAGTTTGCTGAATGTTTCATAGCATTCGAGGCATCGTAGCGATGTTGTCAGCAGATGCCCAGATCTTCATCACCTCCAAGAAGGAGCGCCTCATCCCCAGATCCGTGGAGCGATCATCGATGAAGAGTGTGTCGCGCTGCAGCTGTGAAGAGTGTGTCGCTAAGGAGATGGCGCAAAAGCCAAGGCATTTCACCACGAGGACCAGTGTGCGCATTTCTCCAAGTCGTCGAGATCAGAGGTGTGAAAAACTGCTAGGATGGTGACCATCTCTGTTTGCTCTCAGCATTCAGTCAGTGGAAGAAGCATCAGCATCAAAAGGCCGGAACACATTCGGCGGAATCAGGCGAATTTGAACCTCCAAACCTCCAACCTAGATCAACCTAGTAGCTTCCAACCTAGAAGCAATGGCCAACCTCGATGGCCTCCAACCTATATAATTGCGAATAGTTTGCTCGGCTAGCTTTCCTAGGCCTTTGCTTCGCAGAATGGTCTCAATCATGCTGCTCTGGAGAAGTCTGTCCTGAGCTCAAGAGTCTGTGCACGGTGTCATTGGTGTTGGGCTGCAGTCTCAGGTGACGATTCGCAATCAACTGAAAGATGTCTTGCACCAAGCAAGTCTCTCAGATCTTCGACAAGACACGAGTGTAAACACGCACGGCACGGCCGGGTCCAAGGCATGGGGAGCATCCCAAATTCCCAGCTGTGGCGGGTCGGCTTGGGCATGTTTTGGATCGCTTCCGCGCCGCGTGCTTGCCGCGAACACGGCACTCTCTACCACACAACTCGCCGGCTTCGGCGCCCGGCTTGCGAGTTCGGAGGCCCAAGAACTGGATGACGGTGCGCAGATGCCTTTTGAAGGCTTCGCGATGTGTGACCAGTTCTCACGGTCCAGTCCACAGTTCTATTGCTGTCCTGACAGGGCCTGTTCACACAGACAGCGCGACGAGATGAAGTGAATCAGAATTCCTACCGGACCTTTCTCTCAAGACAGGAGTGTGTGTGCAAGCATGTGCAAGCACAACATGTTTTTGTTACTTTCAGTGCCTCCGGGCGAAAGGAGGCCAGACTGCATCCTTCAAGTGTGCTTCACCGACGTCAACCACCACCGCCACAACCTTATACAACCCAAAACTCTTACTCCCAATTTGTTATATAGATTGCAGGTTGAGTGTGACATCTAAATTTGAGGCCCTGCGTTGTCTACACCGAGTTGTTCGTTACAGCCAAGAGCTATTTGCGAACAGTTACCGAGGTGCAATGCAACACGATGCTGAGCTTTGCTGACTGTCCCATCAACTAGACTAAGATGTTCAAGGATGTTCGATGATGTAGCGGCTGTGTATTGGATTCATTTAGATTCTAGAAAGGAGATGCAACGACCTCTCACAAAAATACAAGGCATAAGGAAAGACCTGTTGCGGATTCTCTACAGTCAGTGCCAGCGAGGTGGATCCTGCCTGGCTTCCAGAACTTTGTCCTCGTTTCTTCAGCACAGGCAACCTGGCCGAAAGAGGGCGGAATACCCCTAAACTTGCATCGATGCACTTGTCTCAGTGTGGTTTTTGTGCCCACAATATCTGAACGTCACGCAATTGGACAGCGGTTGATTCGCCATCCCAGTTTAGGCCATTTTGGCCAATTCTGCACTGAAGCCAATTCAAGAACAAAAGGTCTGAAGGTCGAACGAAACAATAAGAAATGGTCTAAAGGATTCTAAAGGTCTAATATGGTCTAATGGTCTAAACGTCTAAAACAAATAACGAAAATGGTTTTGCGAGGCACCGAGCCGAAAGAGTATTTGCTTGGCACACAGTGCAATGGCGACAGGTGCCATACAGCAAGCACGCGCAGAGGCATTGCATGCTGGCAAAGAGGTCTCATATGGAAGCAGCCCCTGATACAACGCTACAAGTCCATCGCAGGCAAGCATTGCCTTTTCCTCATTGGCCAAAACCCTGCGATTGGATGACTGTGTAAATCCGAAACCCTGTAAATACTACATTGTAGAGGGGGCGCGCCCACAGTCGATTTCGGGGGTGCCGTTCACCGATTTCGGCGTGCGACTTCGTGTGGTCAGACCAAGAGTACCAAGAAATCTCCCTCTATATTAACCACTTGAGCACCGCAAGAAACCTCCCAAGATGAACTATGTAAAGGCCTTGTCATATGGATGATGCAAGCTCACTTGTGATGATGCAAGTGATTTCGATAGATTGCTGGCTACGTTTGATGGTGTTCTGAGGAAAGTGTCCGGTCAAAAGCAGAATCCCTGAGCCTGTCCTAGTTAAGGTTAATGATCCATGATGCCGACGTGAGTTCTTTGTGGGGAGGCAGCGGGTCAACATACCACTTATGTCAGATCAAAGGAACAGCAATAACCAGAAAATCAATGAAAATACATTTATTCTTACGCGTGCGCAGAAGGTCACAAAACCAAGGAGGAGAAGGAGAAGAAAATTCCAAAGATATTCAAGATTCAACATATATATATATATATACATCGCTTTAAAACAAAGACAATAATAATAATATAATCCATATTTCTTTGTAATTACTCAATTCTCAAGAATATATGTAAAAATAATTTAGGTATTCTATTTACGAAAGGTAGCTTGGTAAGGACTATCTTGAATTTGCTTTGCGAAGCAAAGGGACTGGTTTGAAAGCTTGTTCGGGACTAAAAATTAGTAAATTAATATTTAACACCCCCCCTCCTCCCCCCTCCTTCCTATGTGATGAATGCTCCACTCCCCTCCCCGTCTCTTCTCCTCGTCGCTAGCATAACTAAATGCGACATAACCTCTCTGCAAAGTCTTGTGGAGAAACCCCTCGCGTCGTGGAACACCGTTCGACTTAGTCTTATACCCTAGGGTGGCGAAATCTTGTCGCATCGTGGAGCACACCCACCATAACGTGACGTTTATCCTTGGTAGTATCGGCCTATAAGGGGGTTGGTCATTGAGTTATTGCGGCTTCGACGCAACGCGTGCAGGCCTGTAATCCTAACACAGTGCGTGTAGCTGTGGAATTATAGTTGGTACACATGCGAGCGTTTACGCATTGCGACTTTTACGTACGCTTGTTTTCATACACCTAGACACAAACGAGCGTCGACGTAACGTAGCCTCTCTGCAGAGCCGTGTGGCGCAATCTGACCGCAACGGAGTTCTTCTTGAGCCTTCTTATGCCTTCTTGTATTCTCTGGCTTTGTTGGTTTCATCTATGATTGACCAAGGGGTACGTTCTTGAAACACCGGAGACAGTCCCTTATTAGAAAAGGTCCCGACAGCTACTCGGTCCGTTTCTACCTTTCGTGTTTCCCCGCTTAAGTGTATATGAATGAATAATTACTAAAACGTATTATGATTAATTTAATAAAGGATGGTCATAAATTTTAGGAATTGGATTAAAATTATTTGAAAATAAATGATTTTTATATTAATTAAGAATAGATGTATAATATTATATAAGTTAAATATAATGATTATATGATTGAAATTTATATATATAATTATAAATTAGAATATTAAAAAAAAATTATATATATGTAATTGTATATATGGATATAATTTCTTTAAATAAGGAATATTTTACATTATGATTTTAATTAATTTAGGAAATATAATTATTTTTTTGTTTATTTAATATATTTTTGAATGTTTATGGAAGGATTAAATTTATTGAATTTAGATATATTTATTGGATAGCCCGGGCAATTCGATTTATTATTTCGTCGATTGGGGAAATAATGATTATTGGAATTTAATGAATGATTGTTTATAGCAATCGGTCGGCTATAAAATTTTAGTGATTGATTGGTCGTTGGATTTGGTTGGCCGGCCGGGTAGTAGTGATAGTAGTAGGAATAATAGCGGTAATTATAATAATGGTAGTAATCGACGCGGTTATTAATATTGGATTGTGGGTTTTGGTCGGCCGTTAGTTGGATCGTGGTCTTTGATCGATTAATCGATAAATTCGCAATATTATTGAACGGAAAATTATGGTTTGAATTGGAATGGACGATAAAATTGTTTTATGAAAATAATATTTGAAATTATTTAAATGTAAATAATTTAAATGCTAAGATGCATTCTCCAAATTATATTCGAAGATATTTTCGCTTTACGTAGTTTTAATTTTTGATTATTGCTCGATATATGATAAGAATGAATTATAAAAATATCTATAAAATCTATAATATTGTTATTTATTCTTGCTAGTAAAACGGAATATTGGATTTTGTATGGCCGGAATAGGCTATTTATTGTCCAACGTTATCGATTCCTCCTTAGTTAATATGAATGCCATTTGTTGTTCTTTTTATTTTTCTAAAATATTATCTTCATTATATTTAGGAGAATTGGCCTCATGGATAATATGATCTGATAGAATGTCGTTATCTTTCAAAGCATACTCTGCAGCACTATTTTATTCAGAAATTGGATCTTTTGCATATTGTTCTGAATTTGTTGGGTGAGATTGCGAACGATATTTGGATCCTGCAAATTTCAAAGATATATAACATATTAGTAGGAGGACATATAAATGGAATATTTTTTTTTAATATATAGATATTAATTAATAATATTTTCCAAAATTTATATATCATTCTAAAATTCCCATTCGACCTGCGCTACCTGATTAAAGCAACCCCAAACTTCGCCAGTATTTATTTGCAATGTCAAAGGCGGTAATATTCATTTGCAATGTCAAAGGCGACGCAAATATATATTTCCATTGAAATTGCCAGCCAAAAATATCAAATATTCTTTTGGATAATATTTTATTTCGGAACCCATTCAATTCATGTTCATTCATATAATGCAATGGCCGGAAGGCATTCAATGATACCAAGGAAATAGAAAAGTAATGGTATGATTTCACCATACTAATAGGAAATGGGGACAACAAGGCCTCCGGGATGAAGAGATACCACCTTCTACAATCTAATTTCCATTATCTTGGGGAATAGGTTCATAAACCATAAAACAAATACCACCAAATCATAAATCTTGCCAATTAGATTTTTTTCAATGTCCGTAAAATAGAAGCCTCCGATATAAATTTTGTTCTTATAAAATATATAAAGGTTATATATTCGTTATAATATGATAGAGAAAAATTCATATTTTAATGCTATAAAATCGATTTTTCGTAATCGGTGCAAAACATCGGAATTATTTTATTTCGTTCCTAATAAATATAATAATTTAAATATGGTAATAATAATCGTCGAAAAATTCAATTCTAATTAATATAACAACTTATATATTTTAATTATATAATTCATTTGCAAATTGCATTTATATAAAATAACTATTTTATAAATTTCGAAATTCAAAATTTCGAAATAAATATAATATTTATTATTGTTTACAATAATTTAAAAAACAAAATAAAAAATATTTATACCAATATCATTACATATATAATACCAAAATAAATATATCATAATAATTTATATATATAAAATAATATTCCAAATCAATATCAAAATTAAACCCAATATTTATCAAAATCAAATACAATATTCTCTTATTAAAATTCCGCCCCCCCAATTTACCCGAAAATTAATTTCATTAATTAATAATAAATATCTAAATATATATTAATCCTAATAAATCATAATATATTAATCATCAAATTATATATCTCCTCGAAAATAATCAATAATACCTAATTAGAATTGTTTTTTTAATATAAATTCATTCCCTAATTAATATAAATTCATTCCCTAACTTAAAAAAAATATTGATATATTAAAAAATAAATATAAATTAAAAATAAATATTCCAAATTTTATCCATTTAATATGGTTTCCTAGATGAATTAGAATAATTTCCATTTTATAATTTCTTAATATTCAATAATATATTTGTGAATATGCATCCGCATATTGATGTGGATGTGCCAGGTTCGTCAGCTAATGCATGAACATCGTGCATTTTCATCGTGCATTTTCGCCCGTGCCTTTTCCCTTTCGGCACGAATCCCCACTTCAGGTTCGGGAGGGCTTCTGTCATGACGCCATGTGAGCCCGGCTGCGCTGGCCGTGAAAAGTCCGCGGCTTCGTTCGACAAGCTTTGTTAGTTGGAGCACACCTTATGCGGTGCTTCAAGTTGGTTGCTACCATCAAATTGGTAGCGGAGCCTACGGGCTCGAGCTCCATACGCTACCTGCGCCGACACTTCGAGATCGCCTCCCTCGATTACAAGATCGATGGCTACATCATCGACGAGCACGACAGATGCTGCAAAGGACAGCTGGGTCCCTCAGTTCTCCAATAGGCCTGCCGACTACCGAGAATGGCGGGCAAGGATCCACCTGTACCAAAAGAAGATGGTGATTCAGAAAAAGCCCTTGGAAGGTGTGATCAACATCGTCACCAACCTCACCGGCATCGCTTGGAAGCAGATCGAGCCGATCGCTGAGTCCATCAGCGATGACAAGGACAAAGGCTTCGAACGCCTCATCGAAGCATTGGATCGTACGTTCAAGTACGATGAACGTGTGGAACAACCACGAGCCTTCGAGAAGTTCTTCTACTCCCTCAGCCGACGAGGAGAACAAACGTTGATGTCCTACTGCACGGAACACCGTGAGTATTTGCGAGAAGTGGAGAAACACAACATCCGCCTGCCGAAAGAAGTCACCGGTTGCCTCCTCCTTCGGCGAAGTGGACTGACCCAGGAACAGAAACAATTGGTTCAGTCACAATGTGGCCCAACCCTTGAAGAGGGCAAGGTGGAACAAGCCATGTACTACCTGTTCGGCCAGGACTACCGTGGCAGAGTTGGCTACAGCCATCTTCAAAGGCCCACTGGCCGTGGAAAAGGAAACAGCCGCTGGAAGAAACCTCAGATAGCATACACTGCCTATGACCTCCAGGAAAACTACGACGACCAGACTGAGGAGCTCTACGAGGCAGCAGATGAGGACTATGAGCCCTATGAGGATGAAGAATATGAGGGTGCCTACTATGAGGACGACCCTATGGAGGAAGAAGGTCTCTATGCTGCTCAAGAAGATGACCTGCCAGACATGGATGATCCTGAATGGGAAGAGTGCTATGCCACCTACCTTGACGCTAGGCGACGTTTCGCCGAGCTCAAGACAAATCGTGGCTTCTACCCGGTCGTCGCTCTGACAGACACCAACGCCGCCCACGGCACCAGCTTCCAGCGACCCATTCCGCCCAAGTCCAAAGGAAAAGGGTCCAAGAGCAAGAGCAAACCTCCACCACAGAAGGGTGATGCTAAGAGCCGTGGCAAAGCTGCCACCGCCTCAATGG